TTCCTGTCCTTCAGAAAGGAGCTCTATTTTGAGGTTATGTTATAAATACCTATTTGCATCAAATTGTTCAGGCTTTTGATTTTTAACATCTGTTTTATCAGCCCGACATTTTCTACAATCCAAAAATAAAACATAGCCTAACAATAGGAGAGTGCTGACGCTGACACGAAGGAGAAAAAATACTATGAAAATCAAGGAGGCCATAAAGGCGTCCTACAATCGTGTATGGTGACACGCGTCTATAAAAATTACCGATTCTGTTTTAATCCTGGTTCAAATATTCTGGTAAAACCCGTCAAGAATTGGCATCTGCAGATGAATCGATGAATGAAGTGATACCGTGCTAGGACACAAACCTCGTACACCGCGTCAGGCTCACTGAAATCATAGATCAGTGAAAAATAATTGAGGCTAATAACTTACCCTCTGTCCTACTTTTGACTTCGTAGGTCAACTCCTCAAACTCTATATCATACGCTTCAGTAACGGCAAAGCTAGAGCGTTTTATATTCATGATGTTATGCAATCACTACAATGCTAGCATCATCAGTACTTATCTTTATAAAGTACTGAACATTCTATTAAAAAATTACTCACCACTGATTGAGGAAATAGGCGGGGTCAATTTTCATTGTTCATACTGATCGTATAATAATTATACACAACCATTGGCGAATCCACGAGCCAGTTTTACTTAAAATCATGAGAAACAGGGATTCCAAATTCCTTTGATTTTTTCTTTTTTTATGTTTTAACACCTCTACATCACAAAATACCACGAAAAATCGATGGAATACCCTTTCAAACGAAGGAATCTGTTTGATGTCGTTCGTATCTTCCTTCTACCCGTGTAATATTAGTAACTAATGTACCGATTTTGATGAATAATAAACCACGATCTGCTGTGGAGACATATATGGTTTTGCTGACTTATGTTTTAGGATGGATTAGGGGTTAAAAGTGAAAAAAGGTATCTTAACTTTTTTATTAAGCGTGTATTCTATGTTCAACATGTTTTTGGACGTACAAAACATTTTCTAGACAAGATAAATCAGGATTAACGTTTCTTCAGTCTTCCTGTTCACTTTGGATCGTCCAAAGAATTAAAATCGTTTTTTAAGCTTATAGTTCCCTGCTTAGTTTTGATACTGACAGGTCGAGAACTTCAGATCTCTGCAGCTATACCGAAGGGAGTTTTCAAATCGATAATAAAGTCTTCTTCAAAAGTTTTGGGATGGGGGTCATTAGTCTCTTTATCTATGTTTGATTTGTCAATCAGTCTTATTATTGTTTACATAGATATTCCTGTAACTACACACGTCATGTTAACGACGGTCACTGATGTTTTACCGCGTTAACCATTATGTGTAAATGATAACAGTAACAAAAAGATTAAGTCTCTCTACCGTTGAACTGTGATGTAAACCTTGTACTGTAATGGTAAAAGCTCTTTTCAGAATAAAATTTAATGGGGATTTGACCACTATGTTTTGGTATATAGTTTCCCAGAAACTGCATTCAAAATAAATAAATACAAGCTTATTCATCGAGAAAAACAGTTTTTGGTGATTTCACCAAGTTTTGTGTCTGTCCATTAAGTATCCCTCATTTTCACGAACCATGGGGCGTTTATCTGCATTTTCGAAAACAACAACCACAAACATATACTAATCTACCCTCAAAACTTTGTACCACTACAAGGCTGATAAAAAGGGTTAGCTAGGGTATTCTATTTGATTTTTTTTTAAAGTGAAGTATATCTCTACGTGTGGAAATTGCATAAGATTTAGTATACTATATCAAATTTCTTTATTTAAAAAAAAATCTTCAGAATATACTAAAATGTTCTACATTAAAATGTATATTTGAAGTTTTTATCTATACTTTAAAATAACGGAGCTATCGACTGAAAACATTCTAAAAACTGACTTATCTATACAGGGCGCTTCACAAGTCTTTTCCTCAAGCGCTTTATTCATTAGTTTAAAAATAAGATTTTTTTTGATATCTTCAAAACCGTCAACTAGAATGAACAAGAATTCGGTACGTGAATTTACCTAAGTATTGTCCATATTCCGAAGTCTTTACTCAAAATTAACGACTAGTGGTGGAGATACAGGGGACTGATGGCAATAAGGCCTACTATTTTGAAACTAATTGTTTTTCGACTATTTATGGATGATCTAATTTGTTTTATTTTTATTTTTAGGAAACCAGTGCACTGCAGGGAAAAACCGAAGAATAATTATTTGTACAAATTGAAGGTAAAATTCGAAAACTTGAGCGTTTTGAAAGACACAGTGGCGTACTATTTCCATTTGGAAAAATAATGCCACTAGTCCCCTGTATCTCCGCCAATGCTTCACGTTAATTTTAAGTAAATACTATTGAATGTGGACAATACTTAGGTAAGTCCATATAGCAAATTTTAGTTCATTCTAGTTGACGGTTTTGAAGATATTAAAAAATTATTTCTTATTTTTAAACTAATGAATGAAGCCCTCGAGGAATAAATGTTACATAGAAGACCCCCCCTTAAAATGCTGTCCTGTGTATGACGTTTCATTTTGGTCACGACTTATGAATCATTCTGTCTAGATATCATGCATGCATTTTACTTCTGGAAAATGAATAGTGTTCAAAACTACTCTAACTCTAAATCATTACATATCCACTAATTCAAGGAACCGCCAAGGTATCCAAGTCGGAAATTTTCAGCACTTTCATGTCAGGTTTCAAGTAATAATATTAGTGAAACAATATCATACCTGAAAATTATCACCAAATGAACAAATTCATTACGAGCGTGACCAGCTTAATGGATAGGAATTATTCCGTGAACAATTACCCATGCTGATTACAAAATTATAATGGAAAAAAATGTCACAAGGATTCTTTACGAAACTCTATGTATATAACTTGCATTAAGCATGTGCGACAGTTATTAGAATCAAATTAGTTGTTTATTATATTTATTATATCAACTGCATCTATTCGCAATGTAATTATTACTGGCAGTGCCGTGACAATACGAGGGTTGTGTAAGAATTTCTACGTAGCATTATACACGTTTTATATAATACAATTACGACAGTTTATCAATACAACCAATAGGGTAAACTATACAATTATTGACAATTTAGTACAAGAAGCTCACATATTGGCGTTTTGTGTTCAGTGAGTAATCTACACGACCAGTATTTGTATTGACATTAATTCTACAGGGTGCGGCAGGGAGGATGGACGGTTTTAAAAAATCATAAAATAGTTTTTACTCGAAAATAAATTTATTGATGGAATCAGATTTACAAGGAAATAGCATTTGAGACAGTCAAGTGTCGAAAATCACATCAGACATGTGGTGGCCGAAATCGTTGATGCAGTGCTGGAGGCGTTCTTCGAAGTTCGCGTAGACTCTCTCCAACATCGCTCTCTCAACTTGGGCGACTTCCACGCGAATTTCGCCCTTCAATTCGTCCAGAGTTCGGGGCTTGTTCGCATATACTCTAGCCTTGAGGTGTCCCCATAAGAAAAAACCGCATATGGATAAATCTGGGGACCGAGGAGGCCAATGAACATCGCCAAACCTGGAAATAAGGCGACCAGGGAAGAGAGGGCGAATAACGTCCATGGATGCTTGGGCTGTGTGGGCGGTCGCCCCATCCAGCTGGAACCACACACGTCGGATTGGAACACGTCGCCGTCGTAATTCAGGGAGAAAGAAGTTGGTGATCATGTCGACGTAGCGCTCTGAGTTCACGGTAACATCACGACCATTACCGTCTTCGAAGAAGTAAGGGCCAATGATGCAAGTTTGCGATACAGCGCACCAAACTGTTACTTTTAGGCTGTGCAGCGGTCTTTCGTGTAACTGTTGCGGATTTTCATTAGCCCAATAACGACAATTCTGCTGGTTAACCATGCTGTTTAGGTGAAAGTGTACTTCGTCACTCATAAACAAAATGAGGTTCTCATTTTGATCGATCAGTGCTTCCATCTCACGTGCGAAGTTCATTCGTTGTGCATGATCTCCGGGCTGTAACTGTTGCACAATGGCCAATTTGTAGGGGTGAAAGCGGAGATCCATATGCAAAATTCGCCTTACCGAACGATCACTAAGGCGAAGTGAAGCAGCATGTTTCCGGGCAGATCGAGTCGGACTGCGAAGAAAGACCGGTCGAACGCGTTCAACGTTTTCAGGAGTTCAAACTGTTCGCGGCGCTCCTCTTGGTCTTCTGTTGATCAGTTCACCACGCCTGCAAAGTGATTCAACCCAATGAAGGATGGTCTTTCGAGAGGGAACAGCTCTATTCCGATGAATGTTGAAGTGGCGACGAAACTCACGCTGTACGACGATGACTGACTGAACAGTCATAGGCGAAAACGCGGTGCTCCACCGTCCAGGGCTCCATAACGACAACTGGTAAAATAATGCTAGGATCTTACGAGTCAAACAGCACCCTCCCCACCTATCTCGTAGACGGAGGCGGAGAGTACTACCCATCCCAAAAACGTCCGTCCTCTCTGCCGCACCCTGTATAAACGTTGGGGATTCTGCATTTCAAAGGTTTCAAGGCAAATTAATTCAAGCGCAAAATATGAGTTTGAGATAGTTATTGGCACCTTTGTGACAGTTTCACCCTATCATAAAAAATGTCAATAACACTTTTCAATAGTAATAAGGATGTAATATAACAAAAAACAAATAAATATAACCTATAATAATCAAAAAGGTAACCTATGCAATTACACAAAGTTGTTTTAAATGAGACTAACCGCAGAATCTGCATAGCACCTCGTGAGATACTCAAATATCTTATGTTCTGTTCTGTTACCCCTTCTAACATTAACGATAAGCACTTGAAACTTGACTAACGCTTTTTTGAGAATCAAGCAGTTCTCGTGAGTCATCCTAGATCACGATTCAATTCACTTGGAGGTCAAAATCCTAAAATAGGTCGACGAAACGAGTGTTCGAAAGCTGTGTTGTTATGCATCAACGTGAACTTAACAGACGTTGCATTATTCCCCGAAGAGCTATTAGTTGCTCTTGATGTTACAAGTCTGACCCAGGTCGAATTTTCTAGAAAAGTATATCCGTGCGTGTGAGGATTGCAACTGCCTGAAGCGCGTTCTAAGCTCCATCAGAAAGACGTTAATCTGGTTGAAACAAAATTGGAAGTCAAGGTAATTATAAATGAACAGCTGTTAAACACTTCTGCTATCTTATCATTAGAAAAATTCCAAGGAGTACTCGTGGTCCTTTCGGAATTTTCCATGTCTGTGAATGTTCAGGCTAATTTACCGTTTTCACTATTAGAATCAATCAATCAAGTTTTCAATATATAATCTGGAATTTCTGAAAAAAAATGTCGTCATCAGTTCATAAAGGATTGTATTCAGACCAAGAAACCTGCAAGAAAAAAGTTAGCTACAAACATTAGAAAAATCAAACGAATCAAGTCAGTCGAACGGACTCACACAATTAGTCCATAGACATTGTTTCTCTACTCTACCGGTAGTACATCCAAGACCGGCACGCTCTCCGGTGATCTCAGACAGCAGAAGCAGTGACGTGTATCAAAAGTACTACTTTATCCTTCTGTTTTAAGGGAAAATGTATTGGGAAATCTATGATGCATGGAATATGTCTGATAGGTGCATAGAACTACCGAGGTTGAGATCATGTAAGCATACTGAGATAACTCTCCTCCACCCCGAACAGCCCCCCACCCCCAATTTTTTACCGATATTTTTTTTAAATTATCAGCATCCTCTGAAACGCCAAAAACCGTAGTTAGAGCTATTCCCATTTTTCTAGCTTTTAGACGATTAGCGGATAGACACTCTAACAGACTGACATACTGACAGATAGACAGACCGACGGAAATGAGTCACGTGTTTTTCCTAATATGTATTTATGAATAGCCTCCTCATTTAGCGACACAAAAAAATTGCTTAATAAATACTTTTACTAAGCAGGAAAATAACTTTTTTGTGTACAATAAAATGTGGTTTAATTGATTTACAAAAGAGCTGTAGCCGTTGAAAATGAAACAATATGTAATAAGATTTTTATTAAATGTGAAGTCAGTTTGGTCCAAGTAAGTCTATAACAAAGGACCACTGCTTTTAGAAAAACCGCACTGCAGAGCAGTAACAAGAATTAGCAGTTTCGAACAATTGAAATCCCACTACGTATAAACTTATCTAAAACGCTGTTATTCGACAAAAACAACTGCAACCTTGACCAGTCAAAAGTAGATTCGTACGAATCTGAACAAACGGTATTAATAACATCATAAACATAAAATTGTATATACTTCCGCCGAAATATGCTGCGGTGCATGTAATTTATCCATGAAATGTAATTGTTTTTGTTTTCGATGAGAAAAATCTGAAGTAGAGCGGCGCCTAGGGTCAAGTCAAGTGTTCCATAATAATATTTTCGTGTAAACTATGATGCTGAAGTTGACCTAGACCATGATCGACTTCTTTTACAACTACGCAGTACTGCATGCACCTACATTAGAATAGTTATTGCCGTTGATCTAAATATGAAATAATAATATTTCAGGGTCTGTGCCGTCGGCTTGACCCTGGTGAGATTACGTCCCCATTCCCTACCCTAATGTATGCCCCTGTGCCCCTCCCTCTACTCCTATTCTACGTCGGCTAGCCCTTCTGCGCAGTCGCGGCCCAGCGTTTGCCTTCCGTTGTAACGCCACGAATGCCGCGATGCAGGAGGATCCTCAGTACGCTTTATTCCGCGCTAGTGTATGCTCCTATTCTGTACATATTCTTCGCGAGAGTGAATACAGTGCATTATGGTAAGTCCCCTTTGTTTTGATTTCATTCCCTCTACTCGAAATCATTAATGCCTAAACGGCATGTGAAGTTGTTTTGTTATTTACCTAGCAGACCGACATGTTGTTTGAGTTCATTACTTCAGACATCCTTTATGATTCAGAAACATCAATTTTATTGTTGTGAAGTGACTTGCACCCCCGGTCAATCACTTACATTACCGAGGGTAGTTCGCACCAAGCAGCTATGTACCTCCTTGTAGTTCCTTCTTGCTATATCAGCAGTTTCGGCTCGTTATACGTAACCGTCGGCCTCGACTTTCGAGCCGTCGGCTCAACTAGCTTGAATCAGTCGTCGGCTGGATTCGTGGACCCGACGACTGGAATTACGGAGACGTCGGCCCGATTCTGAGCGGTCGGGTCACTTAACAGGCCGTCGGATTGTTTCGTCGAGCCGTCGGCTCATTTTTGGGCCGACTGATCAAGTTATTAGCTATCACTTCAGAATACCTTGGCTGTACAGATTCTAACGGGTTGCTGTTTCTTGTCTGCAGGCAGCTCCAGGACCGTCCACTATGACTCTGGGCCAGTTAGCGGATCCGTCGCCAGAAGATCATGGAGACTCGCGGATCCTCAACCGCATTAAACTACTGGCATCGCAACACCTTCCGGATGGTTGGAAGAACTGGAAGGTGGCCATTACAGAAAGAACATCTCTATTTGAGGATCCAATGGATCCTCAGCTGATCAATAAGTTGAGATTTGCCCTTCCAACGGTCGGACTAGCACAAGCATTTATCCCGGATTGTAAGAACCTGTCGGAGAAAACATATCGGGAAATGAAGGTCCGGATGCTGAATTGGCCTTTTTGTGTCGGTCTGGTTATTGGTCCTCCAGCCTTGGCGTGTCGAATAAGGGGATCTGCAGTTCATCACGAGCTAGTAATGAGCTCTCTGGACTCACTTCGGCCATTGTTCATCTCAAGAAAAGAAGCGGCTCGGAGATTGGCAGCAGATTCTTCGGAGGGCGAGAGTTCATCAACCGGTGCTTCTGATCCGAGGCCAAGAAAGATGAGTCGAATGGATAAATTGGAAAGGAGCCAGGAGGAACTAAAGATATTAGTTCAGAATGTTTTGGAGAAGATCGAACAACGTTCCGACCAAGGCACGTCTATCCAAGATGTTAGGTATTCAGATGAGGAATCGGATTTGGATGATCAAGAAAATATTGCTCCATCTTTAGACCTAGGCTTCAGTGCACCAAACGAGACGGATATACTAGAAAGTCCCATAGATCACTTGGACTTCAGTTTTGTTCCGGTAACCAAGGAGCAAGAGCCTCTAGTCCCTAAAGCGGACGCACATATTGAAGCCCAGGGGGTGAACTGCTTGCGGCTAGGGCAGGCTTCTTTCAATAAAATCCGTTATGTTGATGCACAGAAGAAACTGCAGGCCTCGCCTGTTTTTAGCGCCTTAAAAGTCAACCCGCAACTTTCCAGAAATAAAGGAACGCCTGATATGTTAGCATCTATGGATGCTACTTTAGGCACTATTTTGCATGGCTTACTTTTACAACGAGAAGCCTTTTCGCATTCAGTAAAGGCCTTAGCGGCAAAGTATCCGGAACTGGGGAAGGATATCCGGGAGGAGTTCTGGGATCCTGATGGCGACTTTAAGGTCACATCAGATGCTTTGGTGCAATATGTGTGCGGTAAGCGCGCAGAAGTAATTGAAAAGAGAAGAAAGGCACTGCGGCCGCTCAATACACATGTAGGGGCGCTTATGGATGCAATTCCGCCCTCGAAGACTCATCTGTTCGAGGAAGAAGCATTTACCGACCTGATAAAACAATTTGGGCAGTTTTTTCGGGCCTCGAGGCCAAGATTTGAATCTCAAAACAGAGATGCAAGCTCCTTTCGTTCGCATTTGGCCACGCGAAAGATGCCACAGTCTACAATGGCAGGATCAAGCCAGCCGAGGTCATACACGAAAGATGCTGAGAAGAACCGATATAAGAAAGGAACCAGAAAACGCAGTTATTCCGTTTCAGCAGGATCATCGAACCCACACTCCACCCGCGTTCGTTGCAAGAAGCGCTGACAAAGATCAGTTCAGAGCAGGTCGCTTAAAGTATTATGCAAACCAGTGGCAAAAGGAAGGGGCGCCCAATTCTATTCTTCAAATAATCAGAGGTTATTCAATCCCTTTCATCCGAAAACCTCCATTATTCCACTTCTCGACCAGACACAGTTTTTCAACACCTCGTATGGAATCAGAGGTAGCGCAAATGCTAGAATAAGGTGTACTGGAAAGATCCCACTACTCGACGGGCTTCACTTCAAAGATGTTCACAGTTCCAAAAGCAGATGGTACCAAGCGACCAATTTTCAACTTAAAAGCTCTGAACGAATTTCTGCATCCAAACAAGTTTCACCTAATCAACCATTTAAAAGTCCCAGCCTTCCTACAAAAAGGGGACTTCATGGTCAAAATCGACATTGCGCAAGCATATTTCCACATCCCAATAAAGGAAAGATATCGAAGATTCCTCTCAGTGTTGCATCAGGGAATGCTATATCAAATGACCTGCCTGCCTTTTGGTCTGTCGAGCGCCCCTTCAACCTTTGCCAAGGTGTCAAATTGGCTAGCGAGCAGGTTGCGAGTCAGAGGGATACGTGTAATCGTATATCTGGACGATTTTCTGTTGGCGCATCAGTGCCCACTCATCCTGAAAAAACAGGTTTCAGAAGTAATGTTTTTTCTAGAGGCATTGGGATGGATTATAAACAGAGAGAAATGTATGTTGGAACCATGTACAACAGTGGAGTATCTAGGCATAAGGTGGGACACGGTAGGAAACACAATATCCCTTCCAAAGAAGAAACAAAAATGTATTCAGAAGACTTTGACTTGGGTTCAAACTCATCAACGATGGAACTGGCGCCAAGCTACAAGTCTCATCGGAAGGTTGAACTTCGCCAGCTTCGCGATCCCCTTAGGCAGGCTTCACGTTCGGGGGATGCAGAGAGCGTGCCTTCTCCTATCCGAATCAACGCCGAGGAAATATCTTCGAGCTCCCCCAGCTGTGTTATCAGCTTGTCAATGGTGGATCCAAAACCTTCACAAGGTGTCGCCAATTTTCCACCAAAACGCAACGATTTTCCTAACAACGGATGTATCGGACATAGGTTGGGGAGCAGTCTTAGAAAACGAAGCCTTGAAGGGATCCTGGTCCCACTACCAGAAGAATTGGCATATAAATGTCAGGGAAATGTTCGCTGTGTATGCTGCCATTCGACAGCGGAGTGGTCGACTGATTGGGAAGTCGATTCTTCTACAGTCAGACAACAAAACTGTGATAGCATACATAAGGAAGCAAGGCGGTACAAAGTCAAAGATGTTACTGGATGTTACCGTAAAGCTGCTGACCCTTTGCAGTCGTCTGGATATCACTCTGACAGCTCACTTTATCCCAGGCATATGCAACGACGTAGCAGACAGCCTGTCTCGCAACAAGGCCCCTCCCGATTGGCATCTGTCTATCGAGTTGACCAATCAGATTTTCCACCGTTTCGGAACCCCGGAAATCGACCTCTTTGCTTCAAAACGGTCGAAGGTGGTACCAGCTTATGCGTCGATGGACGTACGGGACAAACAGGCGGTTTTTGTAAACGCCTTCAGCAAGAGGTGGACTTATTCCCTGGCATATGTATTTCCGCCTCCAGCACTAATCCCCCGAGTCCTCCATCACCTGAACTCAGCGAAGGGAAGATACATTCTGATCACCCCCAATTGGGACAAGGTGTTTTGGAAACCGGATCTAATATCTCGGGTGATAGAGCCGCCTTTCAAGCTACCGGATCTGAACCTCCACTTGACAGA